GTGCATGCGTGCCCAAGATCCCAAGAGGAGAATGGAGGAAAAGGGATTGTGGCGTGACCATCCCCCCTGAGGGGTGATTTCTCACTTTCTGTCTCTCTGTCTGTCTCTGTCTGTGTGACGAGCGCACGTGCCCTATAGCAAAAACCTCTCCAAAAAATAAAATAAAATAAAATAATAAAAAATAAAAATAAAAATAAAAAAAAAGAATTTGAAAAATCTGATTCTTATTGAGAATAGTAAATCTACCTTTTTCAAGCCCTAGGCCCATCTCTTAGTCCTTTTTTATTTTTTTTTTAATTATACTTCTCTATTTGTTTTACATCAGTTCTTAAGCTTATATTTGGTGTGAGTATTCAAAAATTATCTGTGCCTTTAGTTTAGCTGTAAGAATGTGCCGATTTCTATCTGATGATGTTGGAACATACTGCTTTTTGAATTTGAGAAATGTAGTGCTGTTTAGCCATTAAGCTAAATGAAGTGTTTAGATATAATGTAAAGCATTAAGATTAAAGATTGTATAAAACATTCTGCCAACCTTGACTGAAAGATACGATGTACATTGGTGTGCTATGTATCTTTAAAGCTTTTGTTCCTTTAACCTAGAAATTTAGTGACTTTTTCACTGTTAAGTCTAGTACACAAAGTTCACTCTTGACGTCCATACACATCCCACCTTACAAGAGAAAGAAACAAGGAAGTTGTCTGGCGTTGATGAGTTCTCACCTTTAAGATCATAATCAAGCTGTCCTTTATACTATAAACTAAATATTGTTTGTCTGTCCTTAGATAATAATGCTCCTTCGCTTGTTTATTGTGAAGTCAGAAGTTATTAGGATATGAAGCTATAAGAGGGTTTGATTAGGTTCTAGAGATCCCGGAACGCTACTCTAACATGTTTAGAAGTATTCCTTAGGCATTGGAGTGCCACCGAATATTCTAGTTGGTTGATTCAATAATTGGGATTATAGCCACTCCTCACTTAACAACACGCATGTTTAACGAGCTTGACATGACTGGTTCTCCATCGCGGGAACCCCCTCTCTCAGTCTGTGAACTTAGGAATCCTCTTTCTCAGTCTTTATCTCATCCTGCAGTCAGTCGGTATTCACTACATGAAAGGTTTGTGATCACGTAAGGTTACATATTTTCATTTATAAATTTATACTTGATAATGCACCCATAGTAATATTCAGAATAAATAAACCATTTCACTGGATTTATATTACTACGTTGGTTTGTTATTGCTTTCTGGTGCTTATCTAATGTATGCTTTCTGTATGGATAGAATGACATTATTTAGGACCAGCAGATAGTATAGTGGTTATATCATTGGACTCCTACATGGCCTACTGCAGTTTGAGTCCTAGACCCAGTGGTTGAAAATCACATCAGGCACATGTGCGTGTGTGCTTAAGTTCCCAGGCAGAATATGGAGGAGAAAGGATTGTGGCATGGCCATCCCCCAAAGGGGTGATTTCTCACTGTCACATTCACTGTCTCTGTCTCTTAACAGCAAGCACATACCCCCTAAGGCAAAAGCCTCTAAAAAAAACTTACATTATTCTAGTGTGATGTCAGATGATCCCTATTCAAAAATGCATACTGCGTGGCACCATAACACACACAAGATACACACTTTTCAATTTGCTTAATGACCTAGGAGTGGTGTATGAATGGTGAGTGCCTATATTCTGAATAAGACGTTTAGGAAACTTGACGTGGAAGTCCATAGTGTACAGGATCAAAGGATAATGAAGAGAAGCTGAAGCTGGCAAACCAGTCAGCTTTTTACTATAGTATTATGAGTGGTGGAGGCAAGAATGGGAAAGAAGAGAATTAATATGCATTTAACAGAGTTGTATTTTTCTTTTTCGATTCTTTCAGGATCCTCTTGTGCATTTATCAGAAGATGTGATAGCAAGAACATACAACATTTTTGCTATTATGTTTCGGTATGCAGTAGAAATACTAACCTGGGAAAAAGAAAGTGAATTGCCAACAGATTTAGAGACAGCGTAAGTATAATCCATTTATTTGTATATGAGAAACTGCTAAATTTTAACTTTCATATAGTTGGGGTAGGACATAAACTTTTTTTTTAAATTATTTTTAACAGAAGTATAACCTTGATTTTTATAGGTTTTAAGTATTTTCAATCCACTTAATTGGCAGGAGTTTCTCTCTTCTGGTTGGTCACCTAGGTATTAATGTAGCCATAGTCAGACTGTGTCAAGGCCGTGCAGCTATTTTCAGGCATAAGCAGTGTTCTTCTCTTTGTATGATAAAACTGATGAGTTTTTTTGTTTGATTTATTATGTATATTTAGGGAATGAGCTCTTTGGTGTGAGTTTTTAATAAATGCTCAAACTCAATTTTAACCATTTTGATTCTAACTTTTTATGAAATTTCCACATTTTGTGCATTTTTTAATGTGCATCTACAGTTTTACAGATCGTAGAGATTGCAAACTTATAATCAGGGAGCTAGATTTTTCCATACCTGTATTAAGGCTAAGGGCTTACTTTTTTCCTTATTATAATGTGCTTGCCTCGAACTAGATTTTTAGGGTTTTAGTTATTTTTTTTTAACTTATTTAAAAATAAAAACTATTGGGGGACCAGCAGTTGGCATGATGGCTGTGTCGCTGAACTCCCATGTAGTCAAGCGGTTCGAGTCCCAGACCCGGTGGCTTAAACTCACACGGGGCATTTGTGCGTGTGTGCATGCCCAAAATCCCAAGAGGAGAATGGAGAAGGGATTGTGGCATGACCATCCTCCCTGGGGGGTGATTTCTCGCTTTCTGTCTCTCTGTCTCTGTCTTTCTGGTGAGCGCATGTGCCCTATAGCAAAAACCTCTCCAAAAAAAATTTTTTTTAAATAATAAAATTAATTTAAAAAATAAAAACTATGAATATAAACTGGGATGAAAATCCAAAGGATACTGGTGTTGATTCTTTTTTTGCTTTCTCAATGGTGTTCCAGATCATTGAGGTTGTGGGATAAGCTTTTTTATAAAACAGTGCTATTAACTATATGTTTTTGGAAATGTTAAAAATTACTTAGTATCTTATGACTTTATCTTCACATACTTAAGGTTGGGTATCACTGTCTAAAATCTAAGTTTAGATCTTAGAAAATAGAATGGTTTTGGGACCAGCAGGTGGCGTGGTGGTTAAGGACGCTGGACTCCCACATGACCGACCGTGGTTTGAATCATGGACCTGGCAGCTTGCTTTCTCACTTTCTCTCTCTTCTCTCTCGCTTTGTCTCTCTGGTCAAATTAAAATAAGTAAATAAATAAATAAAAATGTAAAATTCTTTAAAAAAAAAAATAGAATAGTTTTATTTTTATTTTGTTTTTCTGTTGTAGGTTCAGGGCCACCAGCATGGAAGGGAAAAGAATCTAAGCTGCTTCTCTTGTAATGTTTACCGTCTTAGTTTCCATCTACCCAGAAACCTGAATCACCCATATCCATTTAGATACCAGGTCCAGCTGGTTCTCCCTCTACCAAATTGTTCCACTTTGGCTCATCTCCATTGTAGCTATCCTAGTCCAAATGACCAGGACTGCACCAAAGTGAACATTAAAGCAAATCCGATCATACCTCCTGTGTCAAACCTTCGACTGCTCTTAGGATGACAAAAGTTGGAATCTATTATGAGGTGTTCAGATTTCTGCCTCTCTCCAGACCAGACTAATCTCCTACTAATCTTTCCCTTCTCCCTCTTCCCCAGCTCCCAGTGTTTGCCTTTGCCACCTCAGCGCCTTTGTGTTCCCTTCCTTTTGCCCAGGGTTTCTCAACCTTGGTACTATTGGCATTTGGGGCCAGATGAATTCTTTGTTTTGGTGGATTGTGAGATATTTAGCAAGATCCCTGGCCTTTATCCACTAGATGCCAGTAACTCTCCCAGACGTGACAACCAAAACTGTCTCTAGACTTTGCCAGATGGTCAGTCAACTGTGGGAGATGGAGATTTGCCCATGATTGAGAACCACTGATAGCTTATTGTTTTGTTTTGTTTTTTAATTTTTAATGACTTCTTCCATAAGAAAGACAGAGGCGGGGTGGGGGGGCACTTGCAACAGGGTCTTCACACCGCAGTCTATCCCCAGTCTCAGCCAGCCCAGATCGTGAGCATGCCCACGCCCCTGGCAGCTTGGGGAGTTCCTGGACTGTGAAACTGGGACCTTTCCCAAGTAGGTTTAGTTGAGTTTCCACTTCGCCACCATCCAGTCCCAATAGCCTATTCTGACTTGGCGTCTCAGATTACTTCTCCAATAGTTCTAAGAACTTCCAAGCCTATTATACCCTGCTCTAGCATCTTACTGTTTTAGATAAAAGCCAATGCATTTGGAGTTATATATTGAATATCAATTTTTTTTTCCAGCCAAACTATGTCAGAGCACAGGCATCATAGATGACTTCTTTATGCATATGTGACCAATACCTAGCACATTCCATAGAACAAAGTATCCTCTAAATCAGTCAACCTGAGGGCCAGATGCAAATCTCAGTGCTCTGCAATACCCATATGGGAAGATTGCTAGATCAAATCTGGAGACATCCCTGCATACGCCAGGTGCACTTGTGCCCATGATCTGGGTTGGCTAAAGCTGGGGGGCATCAAGACCCCGTCAGGGGTGCTGTTTTCTCTGTCTCTCAGTCATGGAATGAATAAACTGTAAGTAAATAAATAAACCAACCACCGTGCATCAAGATAATATGCAAATTGATAAGCCCGTACATCCTTAATGTTTTATCCCACAGAGAGAAGAGTGACACCTACTATTGCATGCTATTTAATGATGAGGTGCACACCTATGAGCAAGTTATTTATACCCTTCAGAAAGCTGTTAACTGTACACAAAAAGAAGCCATTGGATTTGCAACTACAGTAGATCGGGACGTAAGTAGTTACATCTTATTGACATCACATGAGGAATTGAATTTTTACTACAGATGAGTTATCCCAGAAAATTAAGTAAATGTTACATCAGTCTAGGCTTTTCTTTAACATTATTTCACTTGAATATTGGCCCAAATTTATATTGGATATAACTCTAAGCTGTTGCCAGATAGAGTCTAAGAGGAAATACAGATAAAGTTACACCAATTTTACCCAGTGATTAAAGTGCACAATCTAGGGACTAGCAGTTAGCGTAATGGCTATGTTGCTGGACTCCCACGTAGTCGACTGTGGTTCGCGTTCCGGACCTGGTGGCTTAAACTCACGCCGGGCGCGTGTGTGTGCGTGCGTGCCCAAGATCCTGAGAGGAGGATGGAGGAGAAGGGAATGCAGCGTGGCCATCCCCCCGGGGGATGATTTCCTGCTTTCTGTCTCTCTGTCTCTCTCTGTCTGTTTGGCGAGCGCACATGCCCTATAGCAAAAAAAAAAAACTCTCCAAAAAAAGAAAGTGCACAATCTAGCCCCAGTAGAACACTTTGGTAGAGGCTGCTGTTCAACAGCCAAGGCCTGAGTTGGATTCTCAGCCTACCCTAAGAGCTGGGTACAGTGGGACATACCTCTAGTCCCAGTCACTCAGGAGGCTAAAATAGGATTGTGATATAGTAAGATCCACTTAAAAAAAAAAACAACAACAAAAACAGTTGTGGGTTTTATGATGTGGTGATGTGGAGGTTAAAGTGCCGAACTCTCACATGGCCAGCCACGGTTCAAGTCCCAGACCTGGTGGCTTGCAAATCATACCAGGTGTATATACATGTATGCTCAAAATCCCAGGAGGAGAAGGGATTGCCATGTGGCTACCCCCATGAGGTGATTTCTCCCTTTTCTACTTGCTGTCTCACTGGCAAGCACACACACTTTATGGCAAAAATCTAAAAATAATTAAGTGAAATAACTTTTTGTAAAAATATTCACTTATGGGGTTGGCCCTGTTTTATAATGGTTAATTTAAGCACTGTGCTTTGGTAGCCAGATCCCACATGAGTGATCCCAGTTCAGTTCCTGACCCCAGGCCCTCAAAAATATGTCAGGCTCGTGTATGCACGCGCATATGCCCAAACTCCTGATGGCAAGGAGAAATGGAGGTAAAGGGATTGTGGTGTGGCCATGCCCTGTTGAGAGGTATTATCTCTCTCGCTCACTCACACTTGCTCACTCACTCGCTCTGTCTGGCAAGTATAGGTACCCTCTGTTAAGAAAAAGAAAAAAATGTTCAGTTATGGAAATTAGAGTCTAGGCTAATAAATGTGTTGAAAGAAGTATTCTTATTAATGGCTTGAAAAGGGATACTCTCAAAGGAAATTTTTCATATATGAGTTGGGTGGACATTATAAATATTAAAAATTGGCTATAGTTGTTACATGCTCAAACATAAAGGGACCAGCACATAGCATGATGGTTACATTGCTGCACTCTCACCTAGTTGACCAGGTTTAAGTCCCAGACTCTGTGGCTTAAAATTCACGCTGGGCACGTGTGCATGCATGCCCAAAATCCCAAAAGGAGAAAGGAGGATGAGCAATTGCAGCATAGCCATCCCCCCCCGCCCCGGGGGTGGGCAGTGATTTCTCTCTTTCTGTCTCTCTTGTCTCTCTGGTGAGCGCATACTCCCTATAGCAAAAATCTCTCCGATAAAAGGAAAAAGTTATTAACTTTGGGGTCAGCAGGTGGCATGGTGGTAAAGGCTCCGGACTCCTACATCACTGACTGTGGTTTGAGTTCTGGACCGGGTAACTTGCTTTCTCACTTTCTCTCTCTCTATTGAGCACACATGCCCTATAGAAAATTTAAAATAATAATAATAATAAATAAAATAATAATTTTTAAGTTATTAAATTGAATATAATGTTCCTAAAGGTTAATTTTAAATATTTTTATTTAAACAGGGGCGAAGATCTGTTCGATACGGAGATTTCCAGTATTGTGAGCAAGCAAAATGAGAAATAGTGGTAAGTAATTTTAAAACATGCCTTTTTTATTAGTTTAAAACTAGCTCTGTATTTCAACATTTATGAATAAGTTTTTCTGCTGAAATATCTATAAAGCCGGTGCCAACCAAAAACCATGTTTAGAGATGTTTTTTGAGCACTATCTAGCTTTTCTTAAGTTATTAAGATTGATATAGAAAATTAATAGTTAAATGAGATGTATTTTTGTCTTTCTATTTTTCCATCAGAGAGGTCTTAGAGGTTTGTTGCTTCTCTTGTTTTTAGTTAATAGGGTTTCACATTACTTTTTAGGAACTAAATTGCCCTTGGGTGCCAATATTAAACAATAAAGGTTGCTTTTTAGTACATATCCTAATAGCATTTAGTATGTTATTTTTCAAAAAAACTGTTCCCTCATTTAGATTTATTTTTTAAAGCTAGAATTTATTTTTAACTATTTCTTATAACTGCATTTTATATAAATGTTCTTTTTTAAAAAAATAATTTTAACGTTACAAAACCTTTTTATATAGACAGAAAAACAGAACACAGTGAACACTTGTGTGCCCACAATATACCTTATTTTGTCATGTTTATTTTAAATAAGTAGTATTGAGACCCCTGTGTTACCTCTTCTTAATCCTGTTACCCTCCTCTGTCCCTAGAGATAACAACTCTCATTAATGTACTTTTTTCATTACCATACATGCCTTTTTATTTCATGTTAAGTATCTGTCAACATTATACATGTTGATTTGGGGGCCTTTAAACATTATATAGCAAGGGACCAGCAGATGGCATAATGGTTACGTCCCCGGACTTTCATGTGTTGACTGCGGTTTGAGTCCTGGACCTGGCAGCTTAAAGCTCACACAGGGTGCGTGTGCGTGCGTGCCCAAAATCCCAAGAGGAGAATGGAGGAGAAGGGATTGTGGTGCGGCCATCCCCCTCTGAGGGATGATTTCTTGCTTTCTGCCTCCCTGTCTCTCTATGTCTTTCTGGTGAGCACACACACCCATAAGCAAAAATCTCTTTTTTTTTAAATTTATTTATTCATTCATTTATTTTAATTTGGCCAGAGAGAGGCAGAGAGAGAGGGAAAGTGAGAAAGCAAGCCACCAGGTCCAGGACTTGAACCATGGTCAGCCATGTGGGAGTACCCAGCACCTTAACCACCATGCCACCTGCTGGTCCCCAGAAATCTCTCTTTTTTTAAAAAAAAAATTATATAACAAGATTCATGCTGAGTTTATATATTATTCTGCAACTTGCCTTTTTATGTCTATGTTGTTTTAGATTTATCTGTGTTGCTCTATCTTAGCTAGAGATCTTTTTTTTTAATAGTTGTTGAATATTCTACTGATAATTATACCAGAATTTATCCATTCTCCTGTTGATGGACAATTGCCTTTGGTTAGATACACAAAAGAATTGAAAGTAAGGTCTCAAAGAAAGATTAATACACCCCAGTTCAGGCACCATTATTCATAGTAGCAAAAAAGTAGAAGCAACCAGTTGTTCATTGATGGATGAATGGAGAAAAAAAAATGCGATATTTCATACAGTGGAGTATTAGTCTTAACAAGGAGGGAAATGCTGATGCGTGCTACAGCACGGATGCACCTGAGGACATTATGCCGAATGAAGTAACCCAGTAACAAAAGGGTAAATGCTGCATGGTTCCGCTTGTATGAGGTGCCTGGCATAGTCAGATTCATAGAGATGAAGTAGAACGGTCGTTGCTAGGTGCCTAGGCGAGGGAGGAGTGGGAACTTAGTTTAACGTGTATAAAGTGTCCATTTTGCAAGATGCAAAGTTCTGGAGATTGGTGTCACATCAGTGTGAATTGATTAACAATGTACAGTTCAGTATACTTAAAAATGGTTAAGATGATAAATTTTGTTAATAGTTTTTCAAAGTATTGATAACGTCTTATCCATGCAACGAAGTATATTTTAAATTACTTTAATAAGTGTATAATGTATTAAGAAAGTAGTTTAAAGTTACAAAGTTTAAGCATTTAAATTATTTATAATTAATAGGGCACATTTTCAAATGTAGGACCACATGTGCAAGTTATGCATAAACTGGGCCTTCTTACTTTTTTTGTATAAATTCCAGTACTTCTAGAAAACTAGAATCTGAATCAAGTAAGCCAAATGAAGTTGTGTTTTTTATACATGTGCATTAAACAATTCTCCTGTGATGATGATAGTGTCATTATATTATGTAACAATGTGAACTTTTTTCTGGCAATAAGATAGCCTTTTAAGTTAGTTTTTTCACCTTGCCATTTCTTTTTAAGAGAAATACCAGTAGACAAACAAAGCCACTCAAAGTTCAAGTTATGCATTCGTCTATTGTCGCCCATCAGAATTTTGGTTTGAAACTTTTGTCGTGGTTGGGAAATGTTATTGGATATTCAGGTAGGTTTATCAGTGCTTATGCTAATTGACTATTGATAATGAGCGCCTATGTCCTTGCACTGCTGTTTTGAAAAAACTACAAAGTAGAATAACTACTTGCTTTAATTTCACATTTTACAGAAGCATCTCAGAATACCTTCATGTACAGAAAAACCAATTTTTACCAAGTTTTCTTCCACAGGATTTTTTTGTATGTAAGCAAAGAATTCTGTATTCAAATAAATGCAGAAAACATTGAGTTAAAAATGGTAAAGGATTTTAAATGCAATGTAACTCTCACAAACTTGATAAAAGAAACTTTTTAATGGAGCATCTTGTGGAACTCTTGCACTGAAGATACTACTGTAAATAAAACTTAAGTAACTAGCTATTGATTGATTGATTACTAGAGGGCCTATGCGCTAGTCAGAAAGAAACAGAGAAAGCTGGTGAGGAGAAAGCACCCCGATAGAAAATGGTCACTCCACAATCCCTTCCCCTCCACCTCCCTAGTTTTGGGAGTTTGGGTACACATGTACCTATGCCTGGCATGTTTCTCAGACCTCTGGATCTGGGACTCAAACTATGCAGTCAGCCGTGTGGGATCCAGCTGCCTTAACCACCAGACCACAGAGTTAGCAAGTAACTAACAATTTAAATAATAAAACATTAATCTTTGTTTTGGTTTGGAATTACCAATAATTTACAACTCTGAGAATTTGCAAATTGGAGGTTATTATTACTTTGTAACTTTTTGTTTTTTTACAGCCTACAAGTTAGACAATTCTTTTGTATGTAATGCAATAGAATTAAGAACCCCCTTGGCACCAGCAGTTAGTGTAATGGCTACGTTACTGGACACCCATGTAGTCGACCGCGGTTTGAGTCCTGGACCCGGTGGCTTAAATTCACACCAGGCACCTGTGCATGCATGCGTGCTCAAGCTCCTGAGAAAAGAATGGAGGAGAAGGGATTGCGGCATGGCCATCCCCCCTGGGGAGTGATTTCTCACTTTCTCTCTGTCTCTCTCTGTCTTTCTGGCGAGCACACACACCCTATAGCAAAAACCTACAAAAAAAAAAAAAAAGAACCCTCACGTCCAAAGGCAAAAACAGAAGTTTGGGCTTATAACACTATTAAGTAGAGGAGCGTTATAGAGCTAAGCTGTCCATCATACTGGTCTTCAGGCGAGACTGGATAAATGACATCCTGAAAGGGTGTGAGAGCATATAACTTTGTCCTGAAAGGGTGTGAGAGCATTGCCACACTGAACTGACAATTGAAAATACAGAGGTGGAGTTAGAACGTGCTTGCTTATTTTTTAAATGTCTTCAGTTATTTTTCTTAGCCCCCATATTCTTCAGCTTTGGTGTTTTCCTTGGATACTGTATGCTAATTACTGTGTTACAGTATTACTGAATAGTATCACAGAAGTAAATTTCTGCTGAAATTTTCCTTTATATCTGAGATATTTATAATGAGTGATTTAAATACTTCAGTATCTATATGTGGTGGGACCAGCAGGTGGTGTGGTGGTTGAGGTGCTGGACTCCCACATGGCTGACCATGGTTCAAGTGCCGCACCCAACAGCTTGAACCAGGCGCGTGTGCATGGATGCCCAGAATCCCGAGAAGAGAATGGAGGACCAGGGATTGCAGCATGGCCATCCTCCCCCCGGGAGAGTGATTTCTCACTTTCTCTCTCTCTCTGTCTCACCAGCAGGGTGCACATGGTATATATATATATATATATAAAATAATTAAAAGATTTTTCTCTTTAGTATTTTATATAATTTCCCTTGGTAGCTCTATTATTTTCTGATTATTCATACTTACAATTAATATTTGAAGAACTTTTCTAAAATTTAACATTTAGAGATATAGGAATTTGTCTGTAGGGGCTCACACAGGGTGGGTCCACAGTGAATTTTTGTTTAATGAGTGAAGAACATTCTGTCAAGCTTTAGTAGTATTTTGGTATCTATTGCAGTACAGAAGTCACCCATTTTTCTTTTGAATGTTAGCTCAACTTTATATTACACCTATCTTCAGTTATCATGGGATGTGCAACAGTTGTAATCTAGCTTAATTAGCATAAATGCTTAAAGAATGACAAGTACCATTTTTCAGTAGTTTTGGATCTTATTCTCTTTGAGTTTATTAAAGCACATATTTTGACAGATATATCTTGGCAGTAGGGAGTAAGTTATGTAATGTGATATTTGGAATTTTTTTGTGTGAAACTACTAATAAAATAATATTTACTTTTTCTGAATAAATTTGGCCTTTATTAAAACACATAACTCCTTATAGATCTATTTGTACATCTACTAAAATGTCACTTCTTTATTTTATTTGAAGCCGATGTCTAACAACTTTTTATCCTGTTTAAAGATGGCCTTCGCCGGATTTTATGTCAAGTTGGTTTACAAGAAGGGCCAGATGGTGAAAACTCTTCGCTAGTGGATAGATTGATGCTTAATGATTCCAAATTATGGAAAGGTAACTTTGAAGAAATCAATATAGACTTCTTGGGGTCCATGACCCAAATTAAAGAGTCTTTATATGTTATTAGAAAATTATATTTGGAAGACTTGGTTTTACAAGCAGATTGTAAATATTTTGTCAAGGAAAACATGTAGTCTTACTCTGGAGGCTTGAAATATAATAGTTGATCTCATAAAAACGTCATTCTTGGTCTTTTTCTAAAGGTGCTCGGAGTGTGTATCATCAGTTGTTCATGAGCAGTCTCCTTATGGATTCAAGATACAAGAAATTATTTGCTGTTCGATTTGCAAAAGTAAGTGGCTTCTTGGTTTTGAAGGTTAACAACAGAATTTACATAAGGAGTAACTATAGCTTGTGATTTTCTCTAGGCTTCAAAAAAACTAATCTCTAATAGTAATACATCAGTATGGATTTTAAATTCAGAGATACTTAACAAATAATCTTTTTATCTTTTACCAATAAAATGTCATAACAGACTTCTTATTCATCACTTGTCATGATAACACGACTATCCATCTATTCAGAGTTTATGATGTGAAATGATAAATGAAGAATTTAAACCTATGCCATTGTGAGTTATTAAATTATCCTACTAAAGTTAATGTAAGGAACCAATCCTCTTGGTCGAAACAACGTAGCATATAGCAATTTGATTTAGGAATCATGTGCACACACACTAGGTTGTTGATGTGGTTGAATTAAGTTCTCCCTTTTGGCAATGTATAATTACCTTAACTGCTTTAGTTTCCACCTGAATCAGGAGGAATAACCAAGGACATATGGAAGAATCATTTGGGGAAGGCTTTCCGTAGACTATAAATACATGTTCTCAGATTACTGAAGCAAATTCAGCAATGAGAGGCCCAAGTCACGTGTATTTCATAAGAGGCATCAGATGAGTCTGACATGCACCCAGAGTAATAACACTCTGGTTTCCGCAGAGACAAAGGATGCTATGGGTTAGCACAGTGGCAAGCACCGGGCACAATGCATCCCAGGATTTTGGTAGCTGTACTTGCTATTTGGGGGTAACCTGCCATTGTGCTCCAGAACAATCAATATTTATACAGGATTTTACAGACTTCTACAGTGAATCAGTATTTGAACAAGATTTCATTGGTGGAATCACTCCAGTTACTGTTTTCATACCAGTATTATCGTACTGATTTCCTCCAGCACTGACTTTTCATTATAATCCTTAAACATTCGGTTAATGTGGATTAGAGGTGAATCTCCCCCTTGTTGTTTAGAATTACCAGCAGTTGCAGAGAGATTTTATGGAGGATGATCACGAGCGAGCAGTGTCGGTGACTGCTCTGTCTGTCCAGTTCTTCACTGCACCTACTCTGGTGAGTAGTGCTTGCCTTTCCTTCATAACTGATAGCTGGCACTCCTTGCCTTTTTTTGCCTTCTTAATAGAACTATGAGCGTTTGCAGAGTGATTATGTGACAGATGACCACGACAGAGAGTTTTCAATCGCAGACCTCTCGGTTCAGATATTCACGGTTCCTTCACTTGTAAGTACTGAAAGACTAGAAGAACTTTCTTATTTTTCATTAACAGAAATAAAGCCTTAAAATAATAGAGAACTAAGATCTCTGCATTCTGGAACGGAATAGTAATTGTATGATGGGCACTCACACTTTAGACATGCTATATTAGAACATATCCTTGCTCATCCAAATAATCTAGACAGAAGTCATTGCAGCTCAATCCATACTTTCCCATAGCACAGCCCTGAAGTTAACATTGAGCTGATTAGTTTAATAGATTTATCCTTTACATTATGATCAGTCCGCTTATTATTTTCAGAAGTCCTCCTCCCTACTCCCACACCCCCTTTA